GGTGGAGGGTGAAGTGGGGACAGGGACACATATGTAATATCTTAATCAATAAAAAATATATTAAAAAAAAAGAAAGAAAACAAAGGAAATGTTTATAAACTCAACCTTATTAGCATACATTAATGCAAACAAGTTAAATATCTACTAAGGAATGAACATGTAAATACACTTTTTAATGCTATCTATTAATGACAAGAAAATGAGTGAACTTTGAACTTCTGCCAAAAGTAATTTGAGAACAAAAAGGTTTTTTGGCCTTATAGCTCTTAAGGGAATCACATTAGAATGAAAGAGATAAATGACACATTTAAACCCTTAACACCAGTCTCTGATATTCCAAAAGAAACCCTTTCCTCAAATTATTTAAGGTGATAGAAAATCAAAGCAAGCATCAGTCTGACTCCTATAACCCCTCTATCTCACTAATAATTAGGTGAAAGAATTTGCTGGGATAATGAAACGCCGGGTTTCCAACTATCTGCCAATTCTATTCCTATGCCAAAAAGCTAAATAGGGCTAAGAAAAAACACACAACCATGATGCCTTGCTTCCCTTTAAATGATTAACTAAATCTCAGCTGGGTCCTCAGTGCTGCCTGCAATGCTACCCTACTCTCCAGCTAACCCACTCTCCTCAGCATGGCGGCAATGGCACGTTTCTCTTCTCAACTCAAACATTCATAGCACTTACCCTGTCATGACTCTCAGCTGCTGAGAAAAAATAAAAGTCATCCAGCTCCCTCTCTACTGTACAGTTCCCAACATGACAGAAACATGCCATCATTTCTGTACTTAAAAATCTTAATCACACATCCCATCTAAATACGGCCTGAGTTCGCTGTTCCCTTTATCACAAAGGACCTCAAAATGATGTCTATACTCTTATCCAGCCATGGGCAAACTATGGCCCGCAGGCCGGATCCGGCCCATTTGAAATGAATAAAACTAAAAAAAAAAAAAAAAGACCGTACCCTTTTATGTAATGATGTTTCCTTTGAATTTATATTAGTTCACACAAACACTCCATCCATGCTTTTGTTCCGGCCCTCCGGTCCAGTTTAAGAACCCATTGTGGCCCTCGAGTCAAAAAGTTTGCCCACCCCTGCTCTTATCTCTAATTCCTCTCTTCCCTCTTCCTGTTTTCCCTTGAACCTACTCAAAAAAGCATTTGCCCCTATATCCCGCTGAAGCCACTCTGGCCAAGGTTACCAGTAACCTCCATGTAGCATAATTCAAGGGTCTATTCTCAGAATTCACCTTATACCACTTAACCAGCAGAATTTGAAATAGCTGATCATACCCTCTTCCTTCAAGCACTTTCATCATCTGGTTTCAAGATACCATGATTTCTTGTTTTTCTTTACATTTCACTAATTATGTCTTCTATGTTGCCTTTGCTGGTTAATCCTCACTGTCATGACCTCTTAATGATGGAGGGTCCCAGAGCTGAGCCCTTGAACCTGTTTCTTTTCTAATTATGCTTTCTCCCCAGGTGATCTCCTCCAATCTTGGCTTAAAATACCATTTACTCACTGATGACCCCCTAATTTATATCTCCAGTTTAGACCTGAACTCTCAACTCTGTATCTCTAATTGCTTACTGACATTTTCATTTGGGTATGTAATAGGTATCTTAATATAACAAAAACACAAACTCTTGATCTTTACCCACATGGATGACATTACGAGTGTTCACCAACATCCAGTTCTCTTCTCATTCAGGGCACATCAATGACAACACATGGTGAAGCTATACGACTTGTTCTGGCTAATTTAATGTGAGCAGAAAAGCCATGTACCCCTTCCAGCATGGACAGTGAAAAGCCCATTGGTAACTCTCCAATCTCTCTTTCTCTGCTGTGGCAACTGTAAATGCTCTGTGTTCCATACAAATGGGGCCTCCATTACCCAGGCTTCCTTAATAACAGGAAAGACCTTCCAATTGACCAACATGGGACATGTACTATGAATAAGAAATAAACCTATACAGGTAGCCATTGAGATTTTGGCATTCTTAGTTATCACCAGACTGATACCTCCCAAACCTGCTCTCACAAGTACTCATCTCCAACTCCATCCTTTCAGCTGCTCAGTCAAAAACCTTGAGGTCATTCTTGACACCTCTCTTTCTCTCACATTCCACATCCAATTCATAAGCATATCCTGTGCCTTCAAAATGCATATGGCATCCAACCTCATTTCAGTGCCTCCACTATCATCCTGCTCTTCAAGAAATTGAAAAAAACAAACCACACACTGGGAGGAAATATTTTACAAAGCATATATCTAATGAGGGGGGCCCTAGCCGGTTTGGCTCAGTGGATGGAGGGGGAATTGGATCCAGAATACATAAAACCCTCAAATCTCGTCAATAAGAAAGTGAAATACTCAATTTTAAGAAAGCAAAAGATTTAATAAACATTTTACTAAAAAAGACATGGATAGTAAATAAGACATGGAAAGATAATACCACTTACCATCACTAGTCACTAGAACATGCAAATTAAATTAAAGCCCCAATGAGATACCACTCCACACATATCAGAATGGCTGAAATTAAAGACTGACAATAACAAGCACTGCTAAGACGTGGAGCACTGGGAACTCTTACACGGCTGCTTGAAATGGAAAATGGTACAACGCCTTTGGAAAATACTTTGGCAATTTCTTAAAAAGGCAAACATGCACCTGTGGTAAAAAGGAGTGTGCCTGCATATTTACTAATAAAAGAAACGGTTCAATTCAAAAGCTATTTATAGGTGATTTATAACTATTTATTGGTGATTCCTCCCTTGGTTAAAATGCACTAAAACATATACCTATCAGATGATCCAGCGATTCTACTGCTAAGTATTCCCGAGAGAATTGAAAGTTTATGTCCTTGTAAAGGTCTGTACACAAATGGCCACAGCCCCAGCGTGAAAACTACCTGAATGTCCATCAACAAGTGAACAGGTAAACAAACTGTGGCACATCCATACAAAACAATACGTCTCAGCAATAAAAAGGAATGAATTATTGATACACATAATATAGATGGAACTCAAAATAAGTAGTATTCTGAGTAAAAAAGACAGGAAAAAAAAAAGAGTATACACTGCATGATCCATTATTTAAAACTCTAGAAAATGTCACTAAACAGTGACAGAAAACAGATCAGTGGTTGCTAGGGGAAAAGGGGTGCTAAGAAGAACAGGAGGGAAGGATTACCAAAGGGTACAAGGAAACTTTTGACAGTAATGGACATGTTCACTATCTTCATTGTAGTGATTTCACAGATATATACATATGCCAAAACATTAAATTTCTTAAATTTGTGCAGTTTATTGTATGTTTCAATAACCCTGTTTTTGAAAAGAATATAGCATGTGATCAAGAAATATTTTTGCAATTAATAAAATGGATGAAAACGAAAATAGATGCTAAGAAAGCAAACTCCTAAGGATGACTGAAGTGGCAACCCCTTATATCTTCCCTTGTTCAATAGTATTATTTTCCAAATGATGGACTATAAGTGGAAAAGGGGGAATAAGCTACTACAAAGCAGAGTCCCTCAGTACAAAGTTGTAAGGACTTTCAACTCAGAAGAGCCACTTATAAGTAGTTCTTTAAATGAATAACTGCTATCCCAATACACAAGCACTCTTCTCATGTCACAGTCCGTTAGCAGCTGGATAATGGTTTTAAACTTATCTTAGAAATTTGGCCCCATTTCCTTTTTAAAAAAAATATGTTATTGATTTTAAAGAGAGAAGAAGAGAGGGATAGAGAGATAGAAACATTAATGAGAAACATTGATTGGCTGCCTCTTGCAGGCTCCCTACTGAGGATAGAGCCTGAAACCTGGGCTCTATCCCCAGGTTAGATTACCCCTATGTGCCCTGACTAGGAATCAAACCAGTGACCTCTTGGTATATGGGTCAACCCTCAACCACTGAGCCACACCAGCTGGGCTGACCTCATTTTTCCTTTGTATATCATCTTCACTAGTCATTAGACTTATACTGACCCCTTTCCCACAAATTTAATTCCTTACAATTTTTTAAAGAATTAAGGAATGGCCATAGCAGGTGTCCTCAGTTTGTGAGTATTGGATGAAAAGTCCCTTTTCTTGAACTCCTTGTCCTCTGTCTCCCAATTTCCCACTGAGGTAGAGAAATCACCGTCCCCATTTCATTCACCTCCTTTGAAATCCCAAATTCAACTCACTGTCATCCTAATATATAAATAACTTGCTTCTTTCATAGCTGCTATGGTTGTATGTTTTCTGCTACATGACTCCTATGTCATAAAATAGAACATAAACATAAAAGCACAGCACCCGTTTATGTTTAGACAATTAGACCCTTGACTCACCTCATTTCCACCGACTGCCTTGGTTAAAATCACTGCAGAAGACACAGGGGGAGGCATGCAACCGACAGTCTGCAAACTGAAAAATAAAAGAAAGGACAATTATCAATAGTATTTTTCAATCACAAATAGTGTCACTACATTCATTCTAAAATTGCAGAGCTGTGTAAATGAAAATAGAAGAGTGATTATTAATGCACATGCCCTGTTGAGTTCAGACAATTCTATGTGAGACAATATGGCTTAGAAGATGCTGCAAATGCCTGAGGAAGCTCTCATTCCATTCATAATTTTAGGTGACTTTATTTTTAAATTATTTGAGCTTTTATTATATAATTTTTAAAAAATATATTCAAGTTAGAGTAAGTGTAGTCATTGAAAGATAACCAAAATGTATATAATTTAGCCTGAGTCTTATTTCAGGTATCTTTTCCTTACATTTTTTTTGGTAGAAAGTCTTTAGGGAAAAATAAAACTTTAAAACCACTTCCAAAGTTCAAAAATATTTAACAAAACACAAGCTTACATGTGTTTATTCCTTTCTACAAAACAGCAATTCTCAAAACTTTCATCTCATGATGCATATATTCTTTCTGATTGGTGTTTCAAGATTCTTAGGATATATTCCCAGAAGTGGGATCGTTGGGCCAAACAGTAGTAAAGGCTATATATTACAAACCTATAGCCAACATCATGCTCAATGGGCAAAAAACTAAAACTGTTTCCCTTAGGAACAGAAATGAGACAGGGATGTCCTATCACCACTCTTATTAACATAGTACTGGAAGTCCTAGTCACAGCAATCTGACAAGAAGAAATAAAAGGCATCCAAATTGGAGAGGAGGAAGTAAAGAAGCTTTTAATCTTTCCGCCATTAATGTCTCATATTTGAAATCTCTGCTTTAGGAGTACACAACCCTTGCCAAACCTCTTATCCTTTAACTGATTACACCACTCATCTGACAAATCATATGCTGCCCCATTAGGTTGGTCACTATTTTATATATGTACTAGAGGCCGGTGCACAAAAATTTATGCACTGGCAGGAGAGGGGGGGTGGGGAGTGTCCCTCAGTCCACTTGTGCCCTCTCACAGTCTGGGACCCCTCAGGAGATAACCACCTGCTGGCTTAGGCCCACTCCCCGGGTGGCAGATGGCATGAACTAAATTGGAAGTTCCTTTAATACAAGCAAACTGAGTTAATATCTTCCTATTTCTTGAGTGCAGATACTTGATATCTATTGGTTCTTAATATGCATTATACAAAAGTAGGTTTTCAGTTATGAGTGTGTGAAACAGAGCTTACTGTTGTATTATTATTTATTAATTATTGTGTTATTTATTTGTATGACAACTGCAAACCTACTTTTGCCCACCTCATACATTGTTATTCTAAAATGATGTCATTATATTTCTGTGACATTTTATGCTTTTCAGCAAAATTTTATGTTCACTCTCTCAAACTCAATCTCGCCAAAACAGCCCTCTTGATTTTCCCCTCTCGTTCTACTTCTCTCCAGCTAAGTAAATGATGTCACCAATTACCCAGTGGCTCATACCCAAAATCTAGAAGTCATCCTTGATTCCTTCCTGTCCTCCTCTCTCCATATCCTATCCATCCATGGGTTCTGAGAACTCCAATTTTAAAATATATCCTTGACACATCAATTTCTCCCTACTGCGCTGCTATACCATGCTAGCCTCCCAGCTGGTCTCCTAAATTTCTCTCAGGCCCTTCTATTATCTATTATTTTCCACAGATTAGCCAGGAGAATCACTTGCAAATATAAATCAGACAACTCCACTTTCTCATTTAATTCCCTCTAGTGGTTTTCTGTACTGCTCAGAATAAACTCTGAATGTATTACCATGGCCCACAATGCTGAGTGACTGGTTTCTGCCCACCTTTCCAACCCCAAGTCATAGTATTCCTCCTCCATGTCAGCAGGCTCTGGCCACCATGGCCGCTTTCCTGACCCTCAAACGCACCAGGTTATTCCTGCCTTGGAGCCTTTGAACATTCTGTTTCCTTTGCCTAGAACACTCTGCCCCATGAACTCTACAATCTAAATTAATCACCAGCCTGTGCACCCAACCACTTAAGGATATCATAGTGCTTTACTTTGCATCACTTACTTCTATCTTAATCATCTATTTACTTGTTTACTGACAATCACATCCAAAGTCTCTTCAATGTGCAAAACTCACTCTTGGCCCATTTTGTTCAGTGTTGGTTTTCCAATGCTTATAATAATTCCTGGTACATAGCAGGAGCTAAATAAGTGATTTCCCTGATATTGCTGTTAAAGCAGGCAGTAAAAGCATAATTATCTTCATTTTATGAACTGGGAAACTGAGGTTCAAAACTATTAAATGCCTCAAAGTCACCTAGCAAGTTAGGGACAGGGTCAGAATGCAATCTTTGGCCTAAGTTCAGTGTTTTAGCTATTATACCATGACTAGTGGCCCAGTGCATGAAATTCATGCACATTAAAAGGGAATTACTTAGAGGAAATATTTGAATATTGCTATTTGCCCTTTTGCTATAATAGAAGTGTCAGAGATTAAAGAAAATTGGTAAAATGTATATGAAAATCTCCCTCATGTCAGAGTCTGGGGCACATTGCAGGACTCAGAGTCAAGTCTCCACCCACCCACATGCGCCTTGAAATCACGTGAGACCCAGACCCAGCTGACCCCACCCCCCTCAAACCCTGTCAGGCGGGGGGTGCAGCCTCAGGTCCCCCGGCCTGCCGCCAGGTTGGGGGTGTGGCCTCAGGTCCCCCGACGCAGCCTCAGGTCCCCCAGCCCGGCCTCAGGTCCTCCAGCCCCAGTGCGAGGGCATGACAACCATTTGCATATTAGCTCTTTATTATATAGGATGCTAACATAAGGTCAGTTCTAAACCAATTCAAATAATTTTTTTGAAATCATCAAATCCTTTAAATAAACATGACAATATTTTTAATGGAAGAAAAGATTCTAATAAAAATCTATTGTTAAATCAACTACCCAATCAAACATAAAACAGAACAGGTGAAAAAATAAATGTTTGTCCCCTGTATATGTTTTTCTTTTCTATATATTTTTAAAGCCATTATCTCTGTACATTTGGTAAGATAAATCACAAAAGTTAAAGCACCAATTGACAGCCTATCTTTATTCATACATACAGATGTTACATCCTCTACTCCAGGGGTCCTCAAACTTTTTAAACAGGGGGCCAATTCACCGTCCCTCAGACCGTTGGAGGGTCGGACTATAGTTTAAAAAAAAACTATGAACAAATTCCTATGCACACTGCACATATCTTATTTTGAAGTATAAAAAACAAAACGAGAACAAATACAATATTAGTATTTGCATGTGGCCCGCGGGCCGTAGTTTGAGGACCCCTGCTCTAGTCTCTTCCAGTTTTCTCCCAACACAACTCTTTTAAATTCCCAGAAACACAACTCTTTTAAATTCCTAAAACCTTAAGATGAAGGATAATAATAATGTTAAAAGTGTTTTTATTTTCTTATAAGATATCACACATAAGTTGCTATGGAAATAATGTCACTAGAGATGTCCCATTAAAAGTGGACCCTCTAAGAACATATATGCATAGCCCATGAACACAGACAACAATGTAGTGAAGGCAGAAGAGTGGGGCTGGGTGGACAGAGGCAAACATGGGGGGAAGGCATCTGTAATAGTGTCAACAATTTAAAAATTAATTAATTAATTAAAAAGTAACTCTTCAAAATATTTAAACATACCCTTTCAAAAGCCATTCATTGATCGGTGTGATTGATAAAAGCTGAAGAAAAAGCCATATTGCTGCTGGGAAGAATGCAAGCGTAAAGATCTGAATGAAAAGATGCAGTCGTATATGCACCAAAGCACTGGTCAGCTCCTGCAAAAAAGGACACAAGATAAAAAAAATTAAGAAAACTATTTCTGAAGATAGGTTGGTACTAAAATAACATAACATAAATTGTTTTTTTAATTGAGATATAATTGATATATAACATTATATTACTTTCAGGTGTATAACATGATGATTCAATATTTATATATATTGTAAATTGATCAGCACAATAAGTCTGGCTACATACATCAATTTGGAGTTATTTCATAGCTAAGTTTTTTTTACCTATGCATATGAGATTATGCATAAGTATTAAGAGACAAATTTAAGAGAAAAGTTATTGCATAAGAGACAAACTTTAAGATAAAAGTTGATGATGGTTATGAAGTTATTCATGAAGATTATAATTTTTATACAAAATTTCTGAAATATTCTAATTGCTTTCTAATATACAATATATCACAATAATTCAGATTTGTGAAATTCTGGACCAGGGCTAAGCTGACTACTGGTATATTTGAGAACTGTTGACACTGTGACAAACATGTATGTTTAAACATTGAAAAAAAATAAAACTTATTTAAAATTTTAGTAGAACCTATCACAATTTTATATGATAATTAACCTCTGGTCATTATATCAGACCTAGAAAGGCCTCAATTTGGCAAGATGTTACTAAATCTACACACAGATCATAATTTTTAAAAATATTCCCCCCAACAACATTCTATAATTAAAAACAGCTGTTTCCACAAAATTGACTCGCTCAATTTCTTTGTTAACATTTACCGAATAGTAGTTATATGCTCTGAGCTTGCCACTTTATGTATGTCATCTCATTTAATCCTCACATCAACACCATTAGGTGGATGTTATTTTTCCTGTTTTACTGATGAGGAACTTGAGGTTGAGAGCTGCTACACAGTGAAGCTCGGAATCAAACCTAATAAACCTGTGCCTGTGTCATCCTACTGCCAGGGAGGGAGAAAATTCCCATCAAACAGGACAAGCCAGGCACATGTTATGAGTCTCACAACTAAAAGGTACTCAGTTAGATTTGACGGTTTAAATATACACTAACAAGTGTTTGCATTTGAATTTCTTTGAGTTGTGTGGTTTTTCGGTGGAAATAAAACACATTCAGAAAGTAGCAGAAAACTGACATATAACATTCGGGCACTCATTAAAGCGCATTCAAAGTTGCCAGAGTCACTGTAATAATAATGTCCCCACAACCCCCAGTCCAAGCAAGACTTTCAAGAGCCTCAGCCTCAGAGGCATGAGCTGGAGTTTATCATTTAATAAACAGTAGGTCAGGGCAAACTCACCCACTGACCACCACCTCTAGGATCTGTCTCAGAGGCCCCCTATTTATCTCCCTGTGTGAAGACACACAGCAGTTCCACTTTGGCCACACGATGTCCTTAATGGTATTTAAGGAACTGACGGAAATCCGGAATAATGGAGGGAAACACCAGACAGACCGGAAGCCATACCAGGTCTGGATCAGAGCTAAGAGAAAAGGAGCCATCCTTGCTCTGAATCAGAAGTTTCATCCCAGAGACACCTGGGCACCAGCAGTACCCAGAATCCTCAGCAGTCTTGAAACCAAATCTCACACAGATGTACTCAGAAGCATTCAATAAATACCAAATACATGAAAAAAGGGTTTTCAATTGTTTAAATTGTAATAAAATGATTAGCCACAATGCAGTAATTAAGGCATTTGCATATACTTCTCACAGAAATATAAAATAGTGTAACTTTTCTAAAAAGTAAATTGGGGATATATATCAGGGACTATAATACAATTTATATTGTTAGATCCCAAAATTTTATATCTGGGCATTTATCCCAATAATATAAAAAATGGTTACAGGCATTAATACACAGAATTGCTCCTCACAGCATTATCCATTATGGTAAAATCTGGAAACAACTTAAATGTCCAACAATGGAAGAATAACCATATAAGGTAAGAATTAAACAGTGTTAAGAGCTGTTCTAAACCATGTTAAAACTGTATACAAGGATGTAAGAGCACAGGGTCTCTCCCTACTTGATCAGCATATAAACTGGCACAACCTGTGGACAGCAATCTGGCAACTCATTTCTTCATTCGACAAATACTTACTGAGCACCAGTCACCATTCTACGTACTTGGAGAATCTATCACAACTTAAACTGCATATATCATTTTGACCTATAAATTCCACTTCCAAGAATTAGCCCTTCACCTATACTCCAAAATGAGGGAAATGACATGTTTTTAGTGTCCTTTGCAGAGTGTTTATAACAGCAAAACATAGTAATTACCTAAATGTCCATCAATAGGGGGCCAGGAAAATGTAATGTGACATATTCATAAAATAGAATCCTTTTCAGCATACACAAAGAAACAGGGAGTTCTTTATATGTTGATATAAAATAAAATAATCTCCAAGATATGTCTCTGAGCTAAGAGCATAAAATAACAGTTTAAAGGGATGGATACAGAAATGTATGTTTTGCATAGAATATCTCTGGAAAGACACACAGAAACTGTTATCTCCAGAGAAGAGAAATGGATAGATAGCTGGTAAAGGGGTGTAAGGATGACTTTTCATCATATATACTTTTGTACCTTTTGATTTATGTACATAAAAGTAAACAAAATGTAAATTATTTTATTTTTCAATGTATAAGTGAAGAAAAATTAAATAACAGTATTAAATTACATGAAAAATTGCATATACCTATATACATATATATAATTTTTAAAAAATATTTTATTTTTAAAACATTCTATATGTAAAATATGTTTAAGAAAAAAAGTACAAAAGCACAGAAATGTTAGAACAGTTATTTTTACTCTTTCTAATCTTTCCTCAATAGGGAAATACCACTTCTATAATCAGAAAAGAGTTATGAAAAATAAAATGCAGTTAGAGACTACTGCATGACCTAATAAATGACAATTAGAAACAACTGATATCACATCAGAATAATGGATCAGTAAGAACTCATCAAAATGAATCACAAGAGCCTACCGTGTTGGGTCATAAGGGGCCTCTTAACAACAGGGAAATAACAGACATGAAGTGTTTCCTAAGAAAGATTTTCAAGACTGTCACAAAAACCTGGTATTATAGGTTTTCTAGATCTTCATATAACTGTAAAGAGAAAATAAGGTAACACTGGAAAAGAAAAAGCAAGTAACACCTTAAAATCCTGCTCATCTTTGTTTCTACCCCTGTGTCAAGCATGGTGTGGTGTAGTGATAGGCACTTGATAGGTTATTTGTTTAAATAAATTGGTCCTGCCATGGTCTGTTAAGTGACAAATCCTCTGAAACTGCAGGTTTGAAGTTAGCTATATATAAAATAAATCTAAAAGGTGACATTATTACATTTCAGTATAATAATATTTCAGAAACCATTTCAACACATATTTCAAAAACTAGAAATCAACAGTTAAAAAAACTGAAGATTTAGCATTAAATCTTTTTAGCATGAAGTGTTAACACAGCTCTTTATAATTTTAATAAATGAGCAAAACAAACTTTAGAATACACATCATTACATCAATGTATGAGTAATGTTCAATATGAATCAAACTCGAATGGGACCACAATAAATGCTTTCAAATAAATTCAAGTCAATAATAACTCGCCATCTTCTGTGTGCAAAAATGCACGATTCTAAGATCTAATAGGATACAAAAATAGTCCCAATTGAAATTAATTTAAGGTTATTAACTAGAAAACAAATAACAAGATTGCTACCTTCTAATGCCCAAGAAATTAGCAGGGCTTAGAGATGGTTTAACATTACACAAAGATGCAATCTAGGCCATCTTAAGTTAAATGGATCTTGAAAATGACTTAATGTTGTATTCATTTCAAAAGGGTCTTTCGTGGAGGAAATGGTTCTGATGGCTTCTTAGATACATAAAAAAGGCCAGGGATCCAGGCATCTCATCATTAGATCCAAATTAGTTGGATGACTCTGAAGGTTTCCTAGGTGCTTACAGAAGAATTTGGTCCTTAGAGAAGTGCTGATAACTGTGACATTCCTTCTTCAATTTCTGCATCCCACAAAGTTGGCTGCTTTACAGAACAGCATTAAGCAAGAAGCTAAGGAGAGAAATCAAGTCTCTTGCCAGATTTCCCATGGCATAAGCAACAGTTGTAGCCATTAAGAAGCCACCAGGGGGCGTAGTTAGAGCAACCTCCCAAGTAGAGGACTTGGGTGAGGCAGCTGCTTCACAAAGAGCATTAACCAAGGCAGCAGGAAGACCTCCAAGGAAGATGAGACCAGCAGCACAGCAGTGGGAAATTCTGTCCCCCATTTGAGGACCAATAGAACTCTGGTGTTGACAGGTAAAGCCTATGCCCTTTAAGTACTAATCACAGTCCTTTCTTATCAATATAATTTACAAAAACTGGAATTTGACATATTTAGGAAATCCCATCCATGTCAGCTATTTTCAGAAGACCAGTAATCAGTGAGGATATTTAGCATTCTTGAGACACACTTCATCTGTCGTAGACACTACACATGGATCACATCTATATCCCAAATGACCCCAGTGGAAAGATTTATACCAACCTGCTAACTACAGAATACCTAAATTTAGTAAAACCATATTTTTTTTTCTATGTTGCTACTAGAAAAAAAAAGCCTTCTTACATAGTAAAATTAACCTGTCTGTGTCAAACTAAGCAGCTTAGAATGATGACTTTTAAAATTCTATGTAATTTCTTCAAAAGCAAATGGGTATTTTCTCCTGTTTTTTCTCCATTATAAGTCAAAAGGGAATCATAAGTTCTACTAATTCCTATCTCGGGTATAAAAAATGTCTGGATAATTTAATTCCAAGGAATCCCATATTCAGTGACACCTGGATAAATAAATAACATTACCTGTATGTCTCCATGATAAAGTGAGATTTAGTATGAAAAAGTACAAATATTTCCTCAAGACATCTATTAACATTTGATAACTATACAGCACTAGCAAAGAATATACATCTGTAAAAATACAAATTAGTTAAAAAGTTTTAACAAGCATCACTTGTACAGCATCAGTCCTAGAAACAAAAGAAGATCCACAAAGTTATGGAAGCCCAAATAAACATCTACAGCTTAAAGGGGCCACAGTAGGCACCATTATAGTTACCACCATAATCTGAGGAAGACCTGAAGGAGATGCATCACTTCAGCTGCCACATAAAAACACACTCATTATAGCCACATCTTCAGGTTCCATGCTGCTTGACTATAAGGTTTGTGGAATACGTACGTACAAAACACAAGTCCAGTGCTGAAGTCCAAGTTACCTTCTGTTACAGTGGAGCCATCAGACTACAACTACACACAGCTTTACAAAAGGATCTGAAAATTTAAAATATTAAGTACAGACTGAATTTTTCTCCCTGCTTTTCATGGGCCCCATAGGTGACAGTACCTCTGTTTTTAATGATAGTCCACTGTTAAAGAATATAGTTGCAACAGCAATGTAGGAGACAGTTATTTCTGGCTTCAGTGGTCCTAAAGAGAGAGAAATTAGGTACTGTTAGATAAGAGTTTCCAGTCTTCCAGTATGAAAGACAAATCCAGTGGAGGAGGACAAATGGTACTTCATTTCTTAGTGTTGACCCTGGTATGTTACTGTCCTGATGGAGTTGAGCATTTGCTGTGATGCCATCTAATTCCAGAGAGAAGTTTCCAGAAGGCAAGGATCATGGCTGTCCAGCTCAGCACAGTATCCTTGGACCAGAAGAATAAAAATAAACTGCTCTCACATAAGAGAGCAGATAGTCAACATCCTTCAACATAGGTCCTAATGATATCTACCACAGTATCAGTCCCCAAATCAAAGGAGAGAATTTCTCAATGGAAGAAGTTACATTATCTTCAGCGAGTATTATTTTATTTCTTCTAGGATACCAGAAATAAAAGCTTGCATTCATGCATATATTCAGTTCTCCCCAAGAGTATCCAATCTATAAATATTTATTGAGCACTTACTATGTGATTGTGATAATACAGACAAGAGTAATAGAGTACTTAACAACATGTTGTTAACATTGTAATTATTAAGAAATTGTGCTTGGCTCTGGGCATGCTGTAGTAAACCACATAGGCCTGATCTCTGCCCTCCAGAAAATTCCTCTCTGAAGTTAGGCTGGCATCATCCCAGACGCATTAACATTGTGAGTACTATAAGGGGCAACCCTAAACATTATACCAACAGTTTAAAATCTGAGATTATCTCGTATTTGACATTCTATGCAACCCTCTTGTGCTGAGTTGAATAACATCCCTCCAAAAATTTGTGTCCTTCCAGAACCTTATTTGGAAACAGGGTCTTTGCAGATATAATCAAATTAAAATGAGGTCTCATCCAATTAGGGTGGGTCCTTTTCCAGTGACTGGTGTTCTTATAAAAAGAGGGAAAGATGGCCATGTGAAGACAGAGGCAGAGACCAGAGTTTATATTACCAAGGGACACGGTTGACTGACAACCACCACAAGCTAGGAGAAGCAAGGAGAGAGTCTGCCCTACAGCCTTTGGTGGAAGCATGACCTTAGCCTCCAGAACTGTGAGAAAATAAATTTATTGTTTTAAGTCACCCTATTTGTGGTAATTTGCTGTGGCAACGCTAATAAACTAATACACCCTTTAAGCAAAACAACAGACCGTGCCGGAGGCAGACTGCATTCATGGCTCCTTCGTTCCCTGTAACTCTCCACCATACACTTACAGATGTTGTTCAGCTCCAAGCTCAGGAAAAATCACCATTCATTCAGTCAACAAATATTTATTGAGCAACTACTATATTTTAGGTAAATGTAGTACATCAGTGAATAAAAGGAACAAAGATCTCCTCAAACAATGTCATAAATTCTTTTATGTACCCGGCATTCACACAAATCATTTTGCTGAGATCTGAGACAAGGAAACAACAGGCAGAAGGTAAGTGCCAACGGCATTACAGACCAGGGCAGTAAAGGCTGTTCACAAACTTGAAAGGAGGTACATTCCTATTATGCCCACGAGTGAATCTGTCTCAGCAGCTCACACTTAGAAATAATATTTCCTCAACAACTGAGAAAGGTGATTCAGAAGCAGATTTTAAAGTCAAGGAGTCTGGCTTGTTTTGAAAGTAGATGCTTCCCAGGAATTTTAAGTACCATTTTTAAAAAACAAACAAACCAATAGCATTTTTATTTTCCTCCAATCTCCTGTGTTTTTTTTTTTTTATCAGACGTTATTCTTGTCAACTGTGGTTCTGCGCACAGTGGTGCCTCCAGAATGTCCATGTCAGATGGGTCAGAGTTAGCAATGTGGTCGCAAGTGAGAGCCACCTCCAGAGCCAGCACATGGCATCTGCTCCCATTGCATGGTTCTCTGGGGCAGCTAACGCATCTACCTTAGTTAGCCAACAACCGAGTTTTTAAAGAACTCTTCCCACAGTTCACATACACATACATAAATACATATGATAACTGTTAACTAACTGGTGTAATTCAGTGGAATGATTCTTGACTTTCAATGTTTTAAATGGTGGAGACGGGTTATACTGTGTGTTTTCTTTTATTAGATGCATCTCTGAATAACTCGAAACTGTGAAAAGACATGGGGAGGGTATTCCAGGGCTACCTACAAAGTATCTTTTAAAAAGGACAGGAGTAAAATGTTCTCACTTGGAGAAACCTAAGGCCCCTCTGAGACACGATCACTGAGATGCCAACAGACCGCTCAGCTTCTGAGCGCGGAACTAGAAGTCTCCCAGGGCTGCAATAAAAACTTGGTAAATATTTGCACAGAAGTGAGAGATGAAACTACTATTTAACAATGATACCCGGCCCTCTCCAAGGTAATGAGTATATCTTCTATGTCACCAGGATAAACCAGATCCAGACCTTAAGATGGCTATAGAGCTAAAGTGGAAATGTAAATTTTAACTTTTCCTTTAAACAAAAGCAAAAACAAATTCTTTATCAGTGAAAATGAGTTAGTAAAATCAAAAGAAAAATTTTAAAAATGAAGCAATTGGGGGCTCCAGAACTCACACTTTTTAATGGGGGTTAGGGGTGAAAAGGGAGCGAAAACTATTTGGCATGCTTAAAAAATGAAAGGAACTATTATCCTATATAATAAAAGCCTAATATGCAAATTGTCCCCTTGACTGAGAGTTCGACTGGGAATTCAACCAGGGGGTGGGACTGGCTGGCCAACTGCTCGCAGTCCGTCCCCCCCAGCTGGCCCCACCCTCGCCAGCAGAGGTGGCAGGCAGCCAGGGGAAGGGAGGCCCCAGTTGGCAGCCGCTAGGGACCCTACCTGTGCACAAATTTCGTGGACTGGGCCTCTAGTTATTTCATAAAATCTACTCATATTCAAAGTAAATTTTACTTCTAAACCTGATCTAAGATATTTGTGCCAATGTACTTAGGCCCATAGCATGTTTCTGGTTATGTTCTTTTAGCGGAAAATTAATGAAGCAGTTTCCTTTTTAGGGTTTATGTATTATTAATGGCAATCATTTAAGTTAAGATGCAGGTAGAAATGAGAAAGTTACTCTACTTCCAAAGAAGTAAACCTTTCTTTTCCCAAGAATGAATAACACCATGTTGAACTTGATTAAACGCTAAGATTGCACAGCTTATAGTTTCCCTGGGTTTCAATGAACCGATTAACAATAACTCAGCATCTATATACATTTACATCTACTGTGGCTCTTTATTTCCACACTTCTTCTATTTATTGAAAAGTAAAAGGTAAGTGAGTAAAAAGAACAGTGAACTAAAAATGAAATTATCTAGGCTAGTACCAGTATGCTTTTTCCCATTTGGAAAGTCATTCAACTTCTCTAATTTTAGGGTTCCCACATCTATAAATTTCCTGCCATTACAAAACTCACTAATTGGCCATAAAGATTTTTTAAAATATTTTTAATATGTTTTTATTGACTTCAGAGAGAGGAAGGGAGAGGGAGAGAGAGAGAGAAACATCAATGGTGAGAAAGAATCATTGATGGGCTGCCTCCTGATGTCCCCTACTGGGGATCATGCCTGCAACCAGGGCTTGTGACCTCCAGGTTCATGAGTTCATGTTCAACCACTGAACCACACCAGCCAGGCTGAAGATTTTTTTAAAGGGAGGTCAGATCATAGTTGTGACACTTGAAATGTAGAAGTCTTACACTTAAAAATAAAGAGTGTAGCCCTGCTGGGTGGCTCAGTTGACTGGAGCATGGTCCCATACACCAGAGGATGGTGGGTTTGATTTCTGGTCAGGGTACATACCTAAGGTTGCAGTTTGATCCCAGTTGCACATGTACGGGAGGCAACTGATTGATGTTTCTCTCACATTGATGTTTCTCTCTCTCTCTCCCTCTCACTCTAAAATCATTTTTTTAAAAAATAAACATATGCTTGGGTAAGGATTTTTTTTAAAAAAAGAGTGTAATCATTAAGGTAGTGATCCAGGTAAAAGTAAAAGTGAAGTGAGCATCTTAAGTTGAAGACTATAAAAACTTTTCCCATTTAAAATAATATCTAGAAAACTGTTCTGAAAATTGTTCATCAATGTACTGAGCCCATAAATGGAAACTCTGACTAAAAGTAAGAAGCAAAAAGAGGTGCTTTAGATCAATCTAAAGAGCAGAATAGGACAGAAACATTTTCAACAACCATTCCTTTCCTTGTTCCCAGATTTTTGTTGGATTAACTAGTGGAGTGGAAGTGTTCCTTGTCAATATTTGGAGGTTTATTTTTATTTAAGAGGTTTTAAGGTCAATCAGAAGTTCAACAGAAGTAACAAGAACTTAGCCTGACAGCCTAGATAATTGTTTGCTTAACTTTGGGTTTTAGAGAAAGTAACTTTCACACATGGACAGCTATCAAAGAAACCCTAGAAGTTTAACTGTTATCTAATACTAGTGGATTCTGGTCTGCTCCTTGGGGCTAAAAATCAGGGCACAGAAAATGTCTTTATTCCAGAGAGCTCCTTCTTTATAACGGTTATGCATTTTTAACGATTGTTCATCAAGAAAATGTGTATGGATTTTGCAACTGGTATGAAATAAGGGGGAGTCCTGGTCTCCAGTCCTTCCACTTCCCTAGCTCACTCATCCTAGGGTCAGTCGCCTGACCTCAGGCCTCCGGGTCTTCAAGGGTGGAAGAAGCCTGTTGGCTTAAAGTACTTTAAAGATCCCTTGGAGCGCTTCACATTCTACTCTTTGGAAATTAAACAAAAGCGATGCATTATCCTAGATTGATGGCATGAGGACTAGTGAAAATGGGAACCGGCATTTCTAACGTAAAAAAAAGTGTGAATCCCCCCAATCTTTGTTCAAGTCCTTGCTTTTCAATGTTCCCTGAGGCGGCTTCTCAATGGAGGTATGGAAGGGAGAGGGTCCTCCTGAGAGATCATGTTACCCCCCATCATGCTTTAACAAGGAGCAAATAACTCCAAATATGCTCCTGAGCACTTCCGACCACAGAAAGATCGCCTGCGCCCACTTCTCTCCTTATCTGTCCCTGTTGTATGACTGATGTATTAATCCCGTCAATGACCCTGGAAACTGGCAAACAAGGTCAATAAGACAGAACACTGAAGGAATTCAATGCATGCTTATGAAAAGTAGGACATGATGGGGGGGAGGCGAGAGGGGCGGTTAAGGGGCATAAAAGGCTAATGATGTCTCCAGCCGCGGCCACCCATGCCTCTCCCCGCACTACAAGGCTCCCACTCTTCGGGGTCCGAGTGTGGCTCCGCCCGCCCACATTTCCTCGCCAAAACACACACAGCACAGAGCCCCACACAGCCTGCGCCCGGAGACCACGGCAGGGTGCAGCCACCGGCCCGCCCGCCGCACGCGGAAGCGGCGTCCCGTCGGGAGAGTGTGCGACGTGTCACTCGGCCCGGAGCTGCTGGGGAGCCGCCCCCTCTGCACAGCATCCCCCAGCCGGTGGGCCGCAAAGCCAGGGCTGCAGGAGGAAGGGGTGCCCCTGCCTCTTTCACTCCCCCTACCTTTTTTTTAAGGGGGGAGGGTTGGAAATGCACCAGGTCATGGTGCCCACTCCGAGACAGACCAGGAACTGCGGGCACCCCAGCATCCGCGGGACAGGGTGCTGCTCGGCAGGGAAGAGAAGAAGTTTCATCCCAGTCCCGGTCCCCTCTCTCCTAGGCACCGAGGAGACTCACTGGCTGTCCGCGGGGAAGGGAGCCCGCTTTCAAAGTCTCTGGCCCCCGTTCTGCACGACAGATCCCCTCTGGGGTCGGCCAACAGAAACGTCAGCCAAAGGGCCCCCGGGCCGGAGGGCACCTAGGCGGGGCGGGGCCCCCGACAGAGGCAGGCGCTCCCCGAGGATCGGCCCCCCCTCCTCTCCGAGACTCGCCCGGGAGTTCCGAAGCGGAGCGCGCGGAGGTTCGGACTTACCCCCGTTCACCCCGATGGACGGCTCCAGCTTCGCTCCGGCGATCGCCAGCACGATCCCGACCATGAACCATTCTTTCCTCAGTCTCTCCAGCAGCCTCATGTTTGTCAGGATGGGTGGGTTTTGTTTACTTGTTTGCCTTTTTTCCTTTTGGAGCTGCGTTCGCTGAATCCCGGGGGCGTCCGCACACTTTCCACCGTCCCTCTTAACATGCAGCAGAGCAAGTCAAATTGCTACTTGTAAACGGGAGACCCGGGGGCTGCTCGGGCGGCTTCGCGGAGGGCTGGGAGTAGTAGTATCCAGTGACAGCAAAGCCTCACTGAGCGCC